TATGTTTTCAGGAATAAGCAGAAAAGTGTGGAGGACTACTTTCAGGAGAAAAAAACAACCCCCTGCACCCCCCAGGAGGCTGCTGTACTGACTGAGAGCGTCCTATCTATGATTGTGAAAGACATGAGGCCACTTGCTATGGTTGAGGGCGAGGGATTCAAAGAAATGCTGACCACTTTTCAATCAGGTTACACTCTGCCGTCTAGGCGCCATTTTACAAGTATGATGGAGAGAAAGTATGAAACTTCAGTGGAGAAACTAAGGAACGAACTAAAAAAGGCCACATCCAAAATCTCCCTTACCGCTGATGCTTGGACTAGTCTGGTCACAGAGGCCTACTTAGGAGTAACTTGTCATTTCATTGATGACAATTGGGATCTTGTCTCCTTCAATTTAACAACACTGCCAATTGAAGAACGACACACTGCAGAAAACATTGCCTCCTGGGTGGAGAAGGTGGCAGAAAAATTCAACATTTCCTTGCATAACGTCCTCGCCATTGTGCATGATAATGCAAGTAACATAGTGGCAGCTCTCCGCATCCTCGAAGAGAGGTTTGGAGTGGTATCTTATCGGTGTGCTGGGCATACACTGCAGCTGGTTGTAAACCATGCAATGAAGGACCCCATGATTGATAAGGCACTATAAGCTGCACGGGGCCTCGTGAAGCACATCAAGAAAAGTGAGCCAGCTAGCACCAAACTTAAGCAGAAACAAAACCAAATGGGCACAGCTGAGCACAAACTAATCCAAGATGTAGCTGTCAGATGGAATAGTTCATACTATATGGTTGAACGTTTGTTAGAACAGCGATGGCCAGTGGTTGCGACGCTGTCAGATCCAGAAGTCACACACCGTGGGAAACATTACCTTGATCTGAAAAATGATCAGTGGATTCTTCTGAATGAACTGAAGGAGGTGCTCAAGCCTTATGAGCAAGCTACTGTTTTTCTTAGTGGACAATCTTATGTCACAGCTTCTGTTCTCCCCCCCCTGCTGAAAGGTCTCCTGAAATCCACCCAAAACAGATCCTTTGATTCTGCTGCCGTGAACCTGTTCCAGAGCCATGCAGAAGGGGAAATCTTGTCAAGGTGGCAGCCGGTGGTATCTGCATTTCAAGAGGATGGGGAAAATGTGTCACTCATTGCTGCTGCCCTTGATCCACGTTTCCGAAAACTGAAATTCCTTTCTCCAGAGGATGCTCTGAAACTGCAAGTAAGAGTACAGAGTGTTGCACTTGATCTCAAAAGGGAGCAGAGAGCACAACTTCAGCAGGCAGCTGTGGGGCAGGAAGCCTCAGCAAGTCCCCCACCAAAGAAGAGGTCTGTGTTGGACACTTTGTTGGGCACAGATTCTGAGGAGGAAGACGGCAACGAAGTCATGGACCAGGATGAGGATGGGGACAATGAGACCGTGAGGAAAGAAGTACTGTTGTATTTTGGGGAAACACCTATCGTAAGGGACAATGACCCCCTTAAATGGTGGAAGGATAACGCAACAAGATTCCCCACACTGGCTGCTTTAGCCAAATCGTATTTGGCTGTACCTGCCACATCAACGCCATCTGAAAGGCTTTTTTCAGTTGCTGGAAACATTGTCACCAAAAAAAGGGCGAGCCTGACTGCTGAGCATGTTGAAATGCTAACATTCCTCCACTCCAATGCATGACTACATCATGTCTTGAATTAAACACACACACACACTGAGTATTCTTAAGGGAAAAGTGGCAGAGTGTATGTTAAGAGCACTTTTGCAGAAAGCAAAGTAAATGTTATATTTCGGACACCACTGCTGCTGCTGTTTATATTTTATTTATTTATTGTTGATAACATTTTTATTCAGATTGTGTTTGTTTGCACAACAGTTTTATTTATTGAAAGACAGTATTTTATTTTTTGTTAAATGCTACCTCTGGCATCAGATTGCACTACTGTATTCATTACTTGAATTTTATTTTGGAATTTGTAATTAAGAGCAATAAAAATGTATTGGAATGAAGAAATTTGTGTTTTTTCATTGAGATACATAAATTAGCATATGTAAATTGCTATATAGGTCAAATTATGGGAAAATAATCGCTAATCGAATCGAAATTGAATCGAATTAAAAAATTAATCGTTAGATTAATCGATGCATCGAAAAAATATTTGCTAGATTAATCGATTAGAAAAATAATTGTTTTGCCCAGCCCTAAGGCCAAACATTTAACAGCCCCAATTTTAGAAAGTGAAATAAGAAAAACCATTAAATTCCTGAAGAACAAGAAACTTTTGTGTATTAGAAACCCAGTATCATAAATTCCTGTTCACATGCAATGTCCGAGGAACTCTGAGACTTGCCCAAACAATTGCATAATGATAAACTAATTTCTCAGATAAAAAATGACAGAAAGATGGGGGATGGAGACCATCAGGATGAATGTATTGCCAGAAATGCAGTTTCTCTTTTGCTCTCTTCCTATTACTGTCCCAGTGGCATTTAAACATTTAAACATAGATTTAAAATCCTGGACAGACTTACAGTATTTCCAAATTCATACAGCAGAATAAAAGCCTAGTTTATGCTTCTGCGTCACGTCGACGCCAGACCTACGCCGTCGACGTGACGCAGTCATTGAGCATTCGAAGTTCTGCGTCGAGGGAACGCGTTGCTCTGCAATTCACCGCCATGCCTCTAGGGGGGTGTAGCTATGTGTTTGTGTGGTTATAGCCGAATCCTCGCTTTTTCTTCCGTAAAGTAAACAACAGTAAACAATGGCGACCGAGGTGGAGCAGTTGTATTTGGAGTTGGAGCTCATCAATATTGAAGAACAAATGCTTAACAAATGTTGAAGCGTAGGCGACAGAGAAGATGTTTGCAGAGGTGGTCTGTACGACGAGGAAGAAGACCGGAAAAAGCAACTGCCGGAACTTACCTTCTGAGCGGACCAATCACAGCGCTTGCGGTCAACGCGACGTGTAGTTAGGATTTTTTGGAGGTACGCGTCAGGCTACGGCGTAGGTACGGCGTTGACGCGACGCAGAAGCATAAACTAGGCTTAAGACTGAAAGTCCTCTACTCAGACAAAGAGAAGGGTGGCTCAGCATTGCCTCATTTTAGAAGCTACTATTGGGTATCACAACTTTGAATATTGGTTTCATCAATTAGACTAAATATGTAAACAAAATGGTACATATAGAACAACGCTCTTTCAGGCCCCCACTATTATGGAGGCAAAAGTATGGTGAAAATTTAAGATTCAAAATTAGTAGGTAAACTATACCCTTAATGTTTGGGCAAAGATGAGAAAAATGTTGAATTTGCCATTGTCATTATCTAGGGGAACTAAAATAGCTTCTATTTGTGACTTTTTGCCAGCAAAACTGGACAGTGGTTTTAGTGGGTTGGCATCTGACACATAAAGAATGGGACGGAATTAAAATATTACCGATTCAAATCCAAACAAGGGAAACAATATCCTGTTTACACAGAAGAATTTGCTTAGACTTGTGAGAGATAAATGGGAATTGGAGGCCAATGCCCTGGTTACGGACGATGAGTGGGACAGGTACTGGGTGTCTGCAGGAAATTTGCTTGGAATTTGAAAATTAGATATTTCAAAGCACCACTGGTAATAGCTAACTATGACAAGACATCTAGCCTCCTCTGCTGGAGAGGGTTGTGGATTAATAGGAGATTTCTCACACATCTTATGGGATTGCCCAAAACTACGAATATTTTGGAAGAAGGTAATGAGTGAAATGGGAGAGATTTTGGAGTTGAATATATTACTTTAACCACAGGGGCTGATTTTAGGGAATATACCTTCAAGTGGGTTGGGAAAAAACAAAATGTATATGTGCAGAGCCCTGGTGTAAAATGTAGCTTTTGTCTTATTTTACGATTATTAATTGATCAATCAGAAAAATAATCAGCAGATTCATTGGTTATTAAAAAAATCGTTAGTTGCCGCCCCTTGTCACTTCTAATACCTACTGTTTTAAGTTTTCACTTATTTAAGTATTTCAGATATCAGACCTATCATTATTATACTGCTCCAGAGTGTTGAAGTAGAAAGTGATGGAAGGTGGTTGCCATGTTTGTAGAGACTGTACCTTGATTTGACATCTGTTTTATTTTGGAGGAGACACTTCCATGTGATGGCAAACCCATAATAGAAGGACATCTGTAGGGGGTTAGAGGGCCAGAGGTAGTAAGCAGCTTGAACACCTACATCTGCTGAAATAGCCCCACAGTCATATTCACAGCTAAATCACTCACCTCAGTTGACAACTTGGCCCCATGAGAGGCCCCATGTCGGTGGCCCTCCTTCAATCCTCTGCATTTTCCTCTTTCAAATCCCTCTTGGTATCCCTCCCCTCGGAACCTGAAAAACAGTCACACTGCCCTCACTCAGTGGCAGTAGCTTAAGACAATCTTTACTTATCCTTATCTTAATTTGGATCCTTCTTGGATCCATCTTGTAATTGATTCAGAACTATTTCACCCTTGTTAACGTTAATATCTCTTGCGAGACACACCAACCCTGTGTCTCTTGCTGTGTTAAAGTTCAGGGTGAGACAGTGCCTATGTGACAGTTTGTTTTTCATTTTAAACCAAACAAAAAGTCAGTTTTATGTTTTTGTCAAGAGTCCCCAATAATTGGCAAGACAAACTTTGCCTTTCTTCATATTAAACTATTCCACCATATGAGTTCCACAATTACAGTAAGGGACGAGAGGTTGGACCTGGAAGCAAATATCACACGCCAGACTCAGCCCCTGGTGTGACTGCTGATGTCCCAGTCTTTACTGTGGGCCTGACAACAGCTGCTGTGAGTACAGCATCTATTTACTGGTCTGATTCTGTTTTAAGTTACTTTCAGTGCTGCTTTCAATTATACAATAACTAAATCTTACTTGATTTATTTTTAGTATGGTCATTATCATAGCAAACCATATACAGAATTGCTTATAGCATGATACAAATACAAAATTCAGAAAACTGTACATGCATATATATTTTTTAAATACAACTCATAATATTATATTAGTATCTAGTGGAGTTGAATAACTGGCCCCATCAACCCTCACCTCACAACAGGACAGGAACATTTACTATCCTTTCCCTCTAAAGCTGTGTCATACATTTTCACTCTTGCATGTTTTTGTCTTCTGGTGTGCTTTTGTGTTCTCTCTTTGTTTAGGTGAGTCACATTGTTATTCTGGCAGAACATGCTGGATTCTGACAAGCAGAGGGTGAAATTAAGGGAAAATACTATA